GAAAACCAAAAGGAATGAAAGCAATTCTTCAAGAAAGAGGATTATGGAATGAAAAATTAATTGGCTTTTGCAAAAATGATATACCTGGAGAAAATTGTTGTATGCAACATATTTTAAAATAATAAGATAATTTTCATAATCAATCTTGTTTAATTCGTGAAATAATTGAAAATTTGGGTCATAAAGTTATTTTTTATTCTAAATTTCATTGTGAATTCAATTTTATTGAGATTTATTAGGGAGATGCAAAATGATATACAAGAAGAAATTGTGATTATACTTGGCGAGGTTTGCAAAAAATTGTACCAGAAGCATTAGATTCAATTTCTTTAAAACAATTTTGAGGTTATGCACAAAAGTCTTTTAGGTATATGGATGCTTATAGAAAAGGATTTAATGCAAAGCAAGCAGAATATGCAGTTAAAAAATATAAAAGACATCGTGTTATTCCTCAATCGATTTTATAAGAATTTTCTTAAATTTATGTATAAATTTAATAAAGTATAAATATCAATCACGTGATCCATATATAAATTTATAAATTTGGCACTTTTTAGTCACATGATTTTATATGTTTATATGTAATTTATAAATTTGGCATTAAAAAAATACAAGCCAATATTATATATTACACACGTGATTAGTATAACCGGGAAATTTACAATCGGCGTCAATATTATAATTAATAAATTAAATTTATATTATTGAGTTTTTGTGTTTAGAACAGAATTTCTATTATAATAACGATCAAAAAAAATTCTTACTCATCGTAAAACCATTAAATGTAACATTATATGTAAATGTAACACTATACTAAAATAAAAATATATAATTGAAACGTGATAGCGTGACGCTCGCTTTGGACGCACAACGGTCCCCCCCTACCTAGTTTAATTATACCTTTAATAATTATTATATAAATCAAATAAATAATTATAACAACTTTATTTATCAGTTATCTATAAATTTTAATATTTTCTGTCTTTAAGTTAAAAGAGTGCTTTAACGCGAAATATTTTATAAGTAAAATAATCAAGCAATGGATCTTACATTCTTTTTAAAAGAATCTAATATACGACCACTCGATTTCAAATTACTATAAATTTTATGCTAGGCATCTATTAGGATCGCATCCTATCGCCAAGAGAATGATGAACTTACTCTTCATAATTTTAAAGTCAACATCATAAAATCACACGATAATATCGTTATTGTGCTTGTGTTGATAAATAGTCAAAATTATTGTCCAATTCATAATGATGATCAGTCAGATTTAGCCACTAACGTGGCTAAATCTAACTTGATCGTCATTATGAATTGGACAATAATTTTGATATTAATCGTTGCAAAGCACAATAACTTATAAATAATGATCAATATATTTGACCACATTTAGCCTGGTGCAGACAGTATTTACGGAGAGAACTTAGTCTGGAGGTTGAATGTCCAGTATTCAACTATCTCAAGGCGAGTTGGTTCTGAAATTGCCTTGCAACAAGCACTTCAGTTGCAAACGCGTCACAAATTTATACTGGATGCCATATGGAATAAGAAGAATGCATGTAATGGAAGGAATACATGCTCGTAGCCTCTATTAATAATAATATTGTATTATATGTATTATTTTCAATTTTTAGTTTTTATTGATTGTTTCTTTTTTTTTCTTTATATTTTATTAAATGTGAATATGCAAGAAAGAAGTCGGTTAGCTAAGTAAAAATGCTTGTAAAAAATGATAGAGAAGCAGGATTTCAAAGGAGGAATTTTCCGAGCCCTAACCCATATAATGGCAGTTCCTTCCCCGCTACTCAGTGGTATATATGATAGTGATCTATCCAAGCATCTATTTTTTCCAAGTTTTCGCTTTTTATATTTTTCCCACGGTAAAACCCCTTTATCGCATCTTTCCCAGTTACCGTATATCACGGACCAAAGTACCCCCCATGTATAGTACCCTATCAAAATAATTTTTTCGGTTTTTAAATACCCGGATATTTTACATAGAAATTTCTAATTAAAATTTATAAAGTATCCTGGGTATATAATACTAAGAAATAGAAAAAATTTAAATTTAAACTTTTAAAATCCCTTTATTACTTTTTAATGATTATTGTAACATGTATCAACCACTTATTTATAAAATCGTTTTCTTTAACATATTTTTCATTATTTTTCTCTCCTTCATTCTACTTCAATGATTTCATTATCATTATCATCTATTTGGACCTGACAACTGATATTAATTAAATATGTAATGAAGGAATTTGAAGTTGCGGAAAAATATTATCCTGAAACCAGGTAACAAAATCCAAATCCAATTTAATTTTTTGTTTCACTGCACCAATTTTTGATAAAGGTTGATGTTGAAATTCAACTTTATATTCTCTTTCAACTAATTTTTTTTTTCCACACAACTTCTTTAGGTGGACATCTGTTAAGTTAAATAACGAATTTTTATGTCCCGCAACTTTTGAAATTAGTTGTAAACAAACCAAACATTGAATTTGTTTGGTTACCGCAAAAAAAGTCGAAAATAATAAACCTTTTACATGTAAGGTTAAGCTTCTCTATGCTAAAATGATTATATTTTATACTTTTGAAATTGTACGATTATAATGATAGGCATCCCTAATAATAATCAAAGTTGGAGCCGGGATATCACGTATTTCGGGATGATTTAGGAAACCAGATTCTTAGTAGCCGTATTATCTGTCAAATTTAAAATTTTATCGTTTAACTAACTTAATATTTTTATCGTCAAAACCGCGATTTTTTGATCGGATTGTTCTTTATTTCGTTATAAATTTCTTAAATAATGTTTTAAGATAAGCACAGTCGACCCCAAAATATTACGGAGAGCAAAATTTATTTATTATTTATTATTTATTATTTTTATTTTTATTTTTATTTTTTTTTTTTTATCCGGCTACAAGGTGATTCCAGAAAAAAATCAAAAAAAAAAAAAAGGCTGAATACACCTTGGAAGGTGAAAGTTCCACCAAAGAAAATTATAAAAAAACTTTTTAAGAATTAAATGTTTATATAGTATAATTTACCAAAATTCATTAAATCACAAAAATAATCATACCTACCTACCTTATATTATTGTGAAATTTTACCATACTTCAATTACATTGCTATTGTTACATTTAATATAGTTTCGCCCAAAGAAAAAGATTATTGTCTTGTAGATAAATTTCGAATAATTAGTAAATTATTAAGGTACCAAATTGTTCTATAAAAATTTAATATATATACGGTATTCTGTATTTGGAATTCTTTTGAAATAACACAGCATTCATACACCTTAACACCTTTGCAATATAATCACTTTCGCCTCTTAACTTCATTATTTTGAACGTTGTAACTTCGTTTATTTTTACTTTCCGACTTTTCTTATTAAAATTAAATTAGCATTTTGAGTTTAATAAATTAATTGATTTATTAAATAAATTTAGCGTCATAATTATTTCAATTATTCTTCTTACAAATACAAATTGTCTATAATTACATAAACGAAAGAACTGAATACAACATTATGATATATTAACATAAATAGAAAGAACACGGAATTAATACACGGAAAAACATGGTATCAAATCACGGAATTTCTTATAGGGCTAATTTTTACCTTTTCTAATTTTAACCGTGAAATATGAGTTCTTTAAAAGAAATTATCCTTTCATCATAAGGAATAGCATATCTTTGACGATGCTTATTACTGAAAGAATGTAATATTTTAAATGATCAAGTTCACTCAATTAAAGAGAATGATATGGAATTATTTAATTTTTTATAAGTCAATGTTAGAAACCAGATCAATAAGTAATAACCTTAAATTAACTAAGGCCTATCCTAGGAAAGGTTTATACAATAATCCTTTTAATACGAATATCACAGTCAAGATTAGAAACCCCCTGCAACGGACCGGGTCTGGATTCAAAGTACAAGACCGATTTTTTTTTCATAAATTTGCCATAAATTATAATTTAACCGTTGGTTATATTTTCAGACGATTATTGTAGTTGATTTTGATGCAAAAAAATCCGTAACATCCATCGTATTATGCAATAACTGGTACCTCAACTTTAAAATGTCACAAATGTCCTAATTATAAACATTAAACACGTCATATTGTCAAAAAACCACTTTCCTACAATTATTTGGTTATTTGTAAAATAAAAATAATTATTAAATTTCGCATCGCTAATTAGCATAAATTAATTAAAATACTGGTCGGGGATCAGGTTGTCATATTATTAAGTGGCTTCAAAATTTGGACTCATACAGGCCTCTAGTTCCCGTTAAATTAGAAACTGATTTGAAGTGTCTTTCTTTTATCCAAATTCAATTCGGAAGTGAATCAGTTCGTTATTATAAGAAATAAAATTAATGACTCATCGGTTACTAAGAAATCACTATAAAAAAAATGTTTAAAAAATTTTATCGAAAATATCCATTTTGTTCAAAATTGATGAGGGATAATTAATTTTTTTTTTTTTCTTTTTGCGAAAAACAAAATGAAAGATAAATATTGACCGTTTATTAATCCTCTAAGTAAAATTTGCAGAGAGGCAAAATACCACCTAGGCATTGTTCATTGAAAGTTCGTAGAATGAATTCTAGACTTACTAGTTTTCCATATACTAAAGATTATATGAAAATAAAAATTGGCAAACTTTTCAACGATAACGTTACCCCCATTCGGAATGTTAGAATAAATATCGTAGTGGTAGGAATTCTTGTTCTGTTGGACGACTCACATGCTTCTAAATACAGTTCTCAATTTATCGTTTGGTATCAAAGACATTTAGTTTTTAATGTTAAAATGCCTAACGTTAAACACTTTACACTTTTATTATAAGTGAACCTTTTAATTTAATATTATGAGATTATATTAAAATGCTAAGCTTGTTCAACATATGACGTTAATTCATCTAGAAAAGTATTATTTTAAATAATTTTCATAAGCTCAATTCAATTCTTCTATTACTACTATGAAATGATCCTAAAAAATATTCAAGTATAAGTAAATACTAGTATCGAATAATTATTAAACAGATAATTATCTAGAAATCCATTCATTCATTCCATAGAATAACACCAAAAGGCATACAGGGTCTATATAATCTAACATACATTTATATAAATGTATGCATAAATACAAATTGGAAGAAATTTTCTTAAATTCATAGGTTTATTCAATTTCTTTATAAGATACTGGTAGGCTTTTATGAAATCATTTTTTGATACTAATCTATATACCAAAATATTATAACGCTAATAAAATTGCGAGAAAATTCTAATGATGCTTCATAATATAGAATTTATATCTTCGTTACAAAACATTGCATTACATATTAATATAAAATTTGAAAGGATTCAATTGTTGCATATTTCGATATATAAATTATTATGTTTTACTTTTAAATATTATATCTTGAGTTTTTTTTTAAAAGTTTAAAAAAAAAATTAAGGATAAATATATTATTAGAATCTAAGATGATCGAAATTAATTATGATTATTTATATTATAATATTTTTTAAGTTATGTAAAAATAGGATTTGAAATTGCAGATTTGACATCTTGTATAGCTTATTTAGAGCCTAATTAAACAGTCAATCTTTTTAATCATTTTATTTTTATTAAATATAAAAACATAATCATATTACTATAAGAAACTATAATCATAGTTTTTAAAAATTTTATTAGTCAAAATAATATATTAATTTTATTTATTATTTATAAAAAATATTTATAAAAGCAATTAGATAAAAATTTAAAAATTTATTTTAAGATATATTTTTTTCTTTTATCTTTTATTAAATAACAGAATTTTTATTTGTCATTTAAAAGGATTAATACTATTTTTTTATTATTATTTTTTACTTTTAATTTATTAATAAAATAATTTAAGTAATAAAATTGAATCAGATTAATAGAATATTATAAATTTAGAATTTTTATATAATTTTATTATAAAATATTAAATATTTAATTGAATTATATTTAGTATTAAATAAACATGTTATTATTTTATTCAACTTATATAATTTCTTTTTTTAAAGTATGCAACTTTAAAGGTATTATATAAGCCTATAATTTATATCTAAATAATATTAATTTATAATTGATTAAATTTTTATAAATTAAATATTATATGTATTATATTTTAATCAAAATATCAATATACAAATTACATGCATATTTATATATTCTGTATCTGAAATATGAATATAATATTCAAGTTTTAAATGATATTTCACATTATAAAGAAAATATTACAAGTTTATTAATTTGTAAATAATATATTTATTCTTATTTCTTTATTTGTAAAACTAAAAATAATTAATTGATATATTTATTTCTATCAAAGTGATAGATTTTAAATACAGTTAGAAATGATAAAAGAAATTAAAATTTTATATAAATAGTTAAATTAAAAGTCTTGTTAGCACATATGAAATGAAATTATAATTCTATAATTTATTAAGTTTTAATAATTTTTAAGTAATTATTATTCAATTTTATTGACGATTAAGAATAAATTAATATTATTTAATTTTTTATAGTTTTTAGTAATTATT